ACTGATGACCACACAATTATACCAATATTGTACCAGTATGATAACATGTTTTCTTTACTTAAAAAAACCCCCACACAAAACTATCACATAGGATTCCAATAAACATTCAACACAGGAAAACAAACACCCAGACTAACAAATGAAACATGTGAAACTAAGTAACAAGATCTTTTATTGGCAAAAACTCCAAGAAAACAAAAAATTAAAATTAAACCGTGACTAGTGACAATCACATGGTCAGATATGACAAGAATGTTTGGATTAGCTGAAGTAAAATGATAAGAAAAATAAATCACCTGATTTACCAAAATCTGGATGGAAATGTTCTCTCAGTTGTCTATCTTGGGACAATCAACTGTTATACTGTGCATTCAAATACTGTAGAGTTATCTACTCCTGGGCACTCACCAAGAGCAAGATTGAATGGTAACAATCAGAGAAACTCTACAACAGTATCAAGTTCTATGGTCGAGGCAGCCAGTACAAGAACCAGACAATATTTTCTCTGACCCCTGACCTGTAGGTTCCGGGGCCCCATATATTGGACAGAAAAACAAAAAGATAGACCCACAGCTCCTTCTATTGTAACAGGTGACTAGTTAGGCATTTGCTGAAATCAGATGTGTTTGGCTAAAACACGCAGATATTACAGCCTAGCTGTAAACCACAACACAACGTGCCAACCGCCTTTTTACGGGCAAACGACGAAGAAAAAGACACCTGAAGTGGTAGAAAAGAAAGTGACGACGATCTACTCTTGATAGCTTGATGTTATTCCCAGATGGCATGTGAAGTGAGAAGTCAAGGACCCTATTTCAGGACTTCAGGGATTAAAAGTTAAGTATCCATCACAGGACGTTGCAGAACCAACCTTAGCATTTTTGGCTGTTGTGGTTTTTCTAGGCAAATTTTACGTTCAGTACTTTGCCACTGCTTTCTGAACCTTCAGGTCTCACTACTTTTGAAACCAATGCAAGATAAATAGTTCTCAGCTGGGATTAAACCTGTCATTATGAAGGGCATTAGTAACGCCTAAGCCCCAGATGCCCACTTCAGACATAGTGGGCATATAAACTAGACCTATATTATATAAACTGGCATTCAGTGGGCGATACAGTCAACATTATGTCGGCTGCCTTGACTTCCCAGAACATTATCTGCTACCCATTTAGGGCTGAATCAATTTGGAAGCCAAGGTTATTTCTTTTAATTAGTCCGGCTGCACTCGGATTGGAACACATGACAGAAACCAGAGGTAATGAACATGTCAAATGAGAGGAATTTGATGTGTAGGAGAAGGTGGTGCAGTGTTTCCTTTATGTAAGAGAGATGTCTGTGCTAGAGCAGCCTTGGGAAATGTCAGCTTCTGGCTAACATGTTGATCAAGTCATCAAATATACGTGTTAACATAAGCAGATCAAATCAATGAGACAACGCCTAGCCCATTCACTGCAACTTATGTCCCCCACGTCTTCACCCATGACAGTCTTTGGAAGGCAAAGACGGTGACAGCCTGAGAAGGCAAGAAACAACATCAAAATAGCCTGAGAAGGCAAGAAACAACATCAAAATAGCCTGAGAAGGTAAGACACAATGCCAAGACAGCCTGAGAGGGTAAGACACAATGCCAAGACAGCCTGGGAGGGCAAGAAACAATGCCAAGACAGCCTGGGAAGGCAAGTCATCCTGAGAAGATAAGACAATGCCTAGACAGCCTGGGAAGGCAAGACACAATGCCAACACAGCCTGGAAAGGCCAGAAAACCTGGCAAAAGAAAACAATGAAAAGACAACGAATGTATCACTGTACCAAATTTATTACCCCACACCCCCTCCCCACAATTTTTTTTAAAAAATATATATATCAAAGTGAACCAATATTTAAATCAAAGTACGAGAAATACCAGGTTCTCTCATTAATACTTAAAATGCAGTTTAGATGAGGTGACAAGACAAGGAGATGACCCCAGTAAAACAAACTAAATAAGACAGGAAATGCTGAAATAATTTGAGAATGATTAAACTAGTGAAAAAAAAACAAAGCAATAGACTATTGTCTTATTTTATATCTGTGGTGCGTACATGAAGCGGAGCAGGATAAGCTAGCCTAATAATGCTGAACAAGTAACACAGAACCAAGCACCTCATCTTTATATCACAAACCACATGCCATGTAAGCAACAACACCACCAAAATCCTCTTTCTATTATCCTTCTGTGTGCATCTGACATGAGTCACAAATTGTCACATCCCATCCCAGACAAATGAAAACATCTTTCACTGGGATTGTCTCATTCTGCTTGCACTTTTGAGAAAAGAACTGATTACAGTACAGTCATTCAAATAAATAAATAACAAAAGTAGCTTTGAATCCTTTCAGGATGTTGCAGAACCAACCCCAGCATGTGCTGGCTGTTTTGGTTTTACTCAACACTTCAGAATTTCAGCAGTTTGCCAATGCTCCTGAACAGTTGGTTATCGATATCACTGTAAAAATCAATACCCACTACTTCTAAACAGTTGGTTAAAAATCTTTAACCTTTCACCTTACACAACTGGTAAACAAACGGCACCCTATCATCTCACAGAAACAGCACTTTATTATCGCACAAAACTGTTCAAAACCTGTCCTCTATCATTTCCCACATCTGCTTACAAAAAAAACTGCACCTTTTTACCTCACACGACGGGCCCATAACTGTACATCGCAAAAAACTGCGAACTTATATCCCATACAAGTGACCTCATATGAAAAACTACCCTCACATCTCACATAGCTGATCCGATGTGAAAAACTGTACCGTCACATCTCACACAACGGAACTGATGTGAAAAACTATACCTTAACATCTCACACAACTGACCTAATGTCAAACACTGTATTTACCATAATTTAAAAATAGTAGACTGCTAGTGTGTGTGATATCCACAAACTGCTGGTGTGTGGTGGACATCCTGTATTGGTGTGTATCCACACACTACTGGTGTGTAGTGGACATCCAGTGTTGGTGTGTAAGTAAAGTAAAGATCCCGTTTCACGCCTTAGGCGCAACGGGCATATGGGAAGAGCGTCCCATATTTTTACAGACCAATCGGCACTGGGTGGGTAATATGGTCAGCATTACACCGGCCAGTGTTGGTGTGTGGTGTGTATCAACAGATTGCTGGTGTGTGCTGGACATCCAGTGTTGTGTATTCACATACTGCTGGTGTGTGGTGGACATCAAGTGTTGATGTGTATCCACATACTGCTGGTGTGTAAAGGAAATCCAGCATTGGTGTGTAGTATGTATCCACATACTGCTGGTTTGTAGTGGACATCCAGTGTTGGTGTGTAACCACATACTGCTGGTGTGTGGTGGACATCGAGTGTTGGTGTGTAACCACATACTGCTGGTGTGTGGTGGACATTGAGTGTTGGTGTGTAACCACATACTGCTGGTGTGTGGTGGACATCGAGTGTTGGTGTGTATCCACATACTGCTGGTGTGTGGTGGATATCGAGTGTTGGTGTGTATCCACATACTGCTGGTGTGTAAAGGAAATCCAGCATTGGTGTGGTAGTGTGTATCCACATACTACTGGTATGTGCTGGTAGAGTATCTTAGTTGTGGAAGACCATCTGACCACAAGTACAGGCTACAATTAAAATCCCAACAATCCAAAAGTTTCTTTTTTTTTTTAATCCTCTTTTTTTCAATCCATTTGTTTCCCATTTCATTGCCAGTTTGGTTGATGCTAGCGGTTGTCCAGACATCTCTTACTTTCTAGCATTCATCTCATTTACTAACAAACCATTCTCAGGAATAAAAACCTGGCATGAGTCACCAGTTCTATAACTGGCTGGTCCCCTCAACTACAGTACGTCACTCAATACAGTACACCTCTGAATACGATGTGTCACTCAATTACAGTACGCCATTCAATATGGTACATGACTCAATACGGTGCCTTAACACAGTAATTCCATCAAACTAGTTTATATACATACACAGGCTTAAATCCTAATGCCGTGACACAATACAAGCTAGAAACCATGGAACACAGAAATACTACAGACAGTTCTACTGGTTAACTACAACAATAGCTGGTTGTTCGTTCACATTCTATGCAAAAAGCATTCGCACATGGAGGCAAATGTCAAATTATGTTCATTTTGCTTATAGCTGCAAATAATTGGTTCATAAACAGAAAATTATTCATTTGTTCCATTTAAGATTTAAAAACAAAATATATACTTACTAAACCGACGTACACACCGGACCGACTCAATTAAAATATAAATAAACAATAGAGACTTGCAGACGGAATCATATACATTCATTGCAGGCTTCTGCAAACATTAGTCTTTATGCGAGTATTTTCTATACATTCAGTTGTAATCTGCTGACTTCAATCTATGACTGAAGTGCTTACCAGAGTGAGCCATACATTCTAATATCCGTGATATGATTTACCACACAACTGTCAACTGTTCCACAGGACTTCATTATTCCTTAAAACACTGAATCCTTTTCCACCCACTCCCACTTGTTTCCTCTCACCCTCTTCTTTTTCTGTATACTTCTTTTAAACCATTTCCACACCCCCCCCCCCCCCCCCCCCCCCACTATCACTCACACCTTCCCCACCCAATATATTTTGAATATTTCCCTTCATTCCCCCACTTTTTAATTATTGCCCAAGCCTTCCATTACTCCCTCTAATTTGAATTATTACCACTCACTTTTATATCTCGTCCACCCCCCCCCCCCTCTCCCCTCCCCATTTCCCTCACACTCTTTAACAACTACCTACTTTCCATTTATTTCCTCTTATTCTGTCTAACTTCCTCACATTTGTGAACTGCTTCTATCCCCCCTCACTCCTTTAATCATTACCCAAACTTTCCAATTTTTTTCTCTTAATCAAATTTCATCCTATCTTCCCACAACTCTCCGCACTCACACCCTCATATTTTTGGATGACTCCACAGATGACACATGACAGACACACACTCTACTAATCCAAGGCTTCAGGTGGAAACTGGACATCAGGATAAGGCTCCGAAGGGGAAGGCTGGGGTGGGATGACATTAATGGAGCCATCTTGTGCCTGCTGGACAATGCTCTGGTCGTGGTGATGCAGGGCTGCTTCATCAGCAGCCGCTGCCAGGTTGGTGATGGACTTGGACTTGACACACTGGAAGTCCACGTGCCGGCTCTTGTTTTCCTCTTTCTCCCAGGACATTCGAATAAAAGGCCTCTGAACATAATTGTAAATGACTGTGGAACCAAACATACATAACATAATGAACAGTCAGTTTAGACTAAAACAAATAATATATCTGTAGTTTGGGACTGGCCTATTCAGAAGTCTTGACATGTGGTGCCGCCCCAAAGGTTTTGGGTCACCATACAGTCTGTTTTTCCCCCTTCAAAAGTGACTTTGGCTCTCAGGTCGACCCAGCCTAAAAATTGGTACCAGGTAAAGTCTTCGGAAGTAAAGGTGGCCGAAGTGATGTTTACTAAATCATCCACCTACTGCAGATTAATCCAAGAGGATACGTCTAGTATCATATGCCTAAACTGCCACTGGCGTAAAACGGGTATTTAATTACTGATCAGGAATTCTTCAAAACATCCAATCTATCTGTTCATTTGATCTTTAACCCTGCCACATTGGTCAATTTTTTTTTAAAGGCCAAGGTCTTATGAAATTTAAAAAAAAAGTCCTTGAAAGAAATTTTTTTTTTAAACATAAGCCAAAACTAAAGTTAAAAAAACAAACATGTTTATATACACTGACATACTTTTTCAAATTACTTATGGATAAATAAAGGGAATTATCAATAAACAGGAAGACAGTGAAGCATCAAAAACAGTTCGCATCAGGTGACTCACATCGCGACCCTGTGACCTCTTTCATGAATGCCTTGGGAAAATCTGATGTCAACTTGACTATACACAAACTTTAGAGTTTTTTATGTTTGAAGGCTGGTTGGCATGTTGTCGTTTACAGCAAACAGGCTATGATATCTGCATCTTTTGGCCCAACACATTCAATCTTAGCAAAACCGCACATTTAGTTACCCTTTATGACAAGCATGTTAATGGGGCAGTGGGTCTCTTCTCCTTCACCTCAAACAGGTCCCCGGAACCAGTACGGGAAGACAAAGTATATAACAACAACAAGAATTACAGACATCTTACCTTCAGCTCTCCCACCAGGTCTCTTCTTGACCTTCTCCTTATATGTGGGGTAACCCTCGATTCCTAGGCGGATTTTCTTTAAACCCCTATCTTTGAGGACTTGTTTAGCGACATCTCTGTTTTCGATGTAGCGGAAAAATCTGTAGAGGCAGGTGCTGTTCACGACTGTGAAGTTTAAAAGTGACAACAGTTAACAAGTTACACAGAAAAGATTAAATGGTGATAGAAGGAAGAAGTATCACAAAAAAGTGGCACTTCCAGCAACAACATCAGTCATTACTGCCTGTACTTAGCATTTCTGAGGAGTTAGCAGGTGGGGTCTTTGAGCCTCAGGATTTAGAGCTACATGGCTAGTACAGTCGACGGACTGTTCAGGTCAGGATTTAATTTGAGCTCTTGACAGGAAAATCTTACCGAGGGTTTGAAACTGGGTCTCCAACATGAGAGCTCAGTGTCCGTAATCATTTGGCCAAGCACACCTCAAAGTGGGATTGAAAATCAAATATGGCGAAATGAGATTATGGTCAAACAAGTAAGATTCTACAGCCATTTAGAAAGGTACAGGGCCACTTTGTGAAAGGATGTGCTGGAGGGGAAATTGGAGGCAAAGAGTAAGACCACATCACATATGGGTGGACAAGATCAAGAGATGAACTGCAGGAAGCTTGTATGAAAGCACCATGATACCCGACAGAGGATGTTTGAGACTTAGTGCAGGGGAATTTTCACACAGCAGACGGCCTATAATGATGATGATCAATTCAGCAAATTTTACAAATTCAAAGAAAATATGATACATGATAGTAAAAGGGAAATCTCTCGGAAAGGGAGCGACAAGCCTTAGCATAAATGGTCAATACTTCTTTATGATAGTAGTTTTCAGGACCTGCTGGTAGGAGACCCTCTCAAAGCCATCACTAGCCACACAGATCTGGTAGATGACCCCCCTCAAAGCCATCACCAGCCACACAGATCTGGTAGAAGACCCCCCTCAAAGCCTTCCCCAGCCACACAGATCTGGTAGGAGACCCCCTCAAAGCCATCACCAGCCACACAGATCTGGAAGAAGACCCCCTCAAAGCCATCACCAGCCACACAGATCTGGTAGAAGACCCTCTCAAAGCCATCACCAGCCACACAGATCTGGTAAAAGACCCCCTCAAAGCCATCACCACCCACACAGATCTGGTAGAAGACCCCCTCAAAGCCATCACCACCCACACAGATCTGGTAGAAGACCCCCTCAAAGCCATCACCCACACAGATCTGGTAGAAGACCCCCTCAAAGCCATCACCACTTACACAGATCTGGTAGGAGACCCCCTCAAAGCCATCACCAGCCACACAGATCTGGTAGAAGACCCTCTCAAAGCCATCACCAGCCACACAGATCTGGTAGAAGACCCTCTCAAAGCCATCACCAGCCACACAGATCTGGTAAAAGACCCCCTCAAAGCCATCACCACCCACACAGATCTGGTAGGAGGTCCCCTCAAAGCCATCACCACCCACACAGATCTGGTAGGAAGTCCCCTCAAAGCCATCACCACCCACACAGATCTGGTAGGAGACCCCCTCAAAGCCATCACCAGCCACACAGATCCCAATTCTCCGACCAGGAATGAGCTCAACCTGCAACACTGATGACTAGTATGTTCATCTCACCTCTCCTTTGAGTATTAAGTGTCGGTCACTTCCCCTGGTCACTCCTCGCTGCACCATTCTCATTAGACTGTGATGACCTATTTGTGCCTCCGCACTGTTCACTCACTCTCAAAGGGCCCTTACAACATCCAGCTTGTCATGCATCGATTTACCATCAAGTGGTGCAGAACCATCCAGTCTATCTGCCAGCACAACCTGAAGAAAACACCCAAAAGACGCTGGTTACCAGGGGTCTCTGAAGCGATGCTTCCACTCTACACAGAGAACACACGTCTCCATATGCTGAAGAGTGGATGTGCCAAATCTGAACAACTCATCGTGCCTCCACTATCCCGTACAGAACACAAGTAAAGTAAGAAATTTACTAATGAATACAGAAAGAATAAACTGAAAGTAACAACACAGAGGATATTTACTCTGAGAGTACTCCTCCCCCATCTGTGGAGGGTAGTCTTCGTCCCAGTCGATCACATCATCATCAGTGAGCACCACAATGTGGCACTCTCTGTCTCCTCGCTGAAATAAATAACAATCAATCATTTCATCAGGGTCTGGCAATTGTGTCTACTGTTTTTTGTTTTGTTTTAAACCACAGCTTTCTTGTGGAGATAACTACAACGAATGCTCCAAAAGACATTACAACTTCAAAAGAGATTATAATTTCATAAAATATTTATAACACAAAATTTTACAACTAAATAAGAGATTTTACAACTATACAAGAAACTACAAATTTGTAAGAGAAATACAACTACACAAGAGATGACAATTAAATTACACCTACAGTGAATATTACACTAGAGATTACAACCACAATCAGCATCCTACAAGAGATTACACTCACAATGAACATTCCAACTGTCATTGTAACCACAATCAGCATCCCACAAGAGATTACAATTACAATGAACATTCCAACTGTCGTTGTAACCACAATCAGCACCCCACAAGAGAATACACTCACAGCGAACATTCCAACTGTTGTTGTAACCACAATCGGCATCCTACAAGAGATTACACTCACAATGAACATTCCAACTGTCGTTGTAACCACAATCAGATACCCACAACAAATATCTCGATGAAACAATGAGTCGATGAAACAATGAGTCTCACCTGTGCGCACAAAACCATCTGAGGCAGAAGCAGATCCTCGAGGTACTCCAGAAACTGTTTGCGGGCCCCTTCATTTGATAATTCGTGAAGAAAACCACCTGAAATAGGATATGAGCTAAATACAATTCAATTTTCCCTTGGAAGAACAAAAACAAAAGGATCTTATGAAACATTTACATCACACAGTTACATTGTCTTCAGCATTGTATCCCTCAGATAGAATACAGACCTTTGAACAGCAATTTTGTCCAGTGTGTACCCTATACAGAACCTACAGCTAAGCTTTACAATAATGATTCTGTCATACCATTTCTTTTATTCCCCGTGTTGGTTCCAGGGCCCCTAGTGGGGAAAACAAGAATAAACCCACTGCCTCCCCAACAAGCATATAGAAGGAGTCAACTAACTGGGAGCTTCCTTCGAAGTTGGAATGCAAGAAACCAACAATCTGCATACAGCTAAGTCAGATGTGTAAAACAGATGTGCATGCAACACTCGGGTTCTGGAAGAAGACTAAAGTCCAGACATGGACGAATACCCAAAACTTTCCGCCCGAGTTTACAGCCACAGAACGCGAAGAAAAAGAATTTCTTTTATTCTGCGAGTTACATTTACCCACATAATATAAGAAATTAAATGGAAATATACTCTATGAAGGGAAGCCGATAAGGCGAAGCAATTAAGACACTCCTCGCTCAACCTAAAAATCTAGGGTTTGAATCTGCATCAAGCGGTGATTTTTTTTTTTTTAAATTCAAAAATGACCTTATCTCCATAGCTGACTCTAGTTCTGGAGCAAGACTATAACTGAACAAAAACCAGCATTTCTCGTCGGAGATTACAGATGGTGTTGTTATCTTTATGTTCCCCACTAGGAAGCTTCCTGGTCTGAACATGTTAAACAAACATCTCAACAGCACACAAGGACAACAGGTAGAAATCAACAGAAACCACTCACGTAAGTTCTGACATCGAACAGTGGAAGCATCAAAGGGCACAAGCAGGTAGTCGCAGGCTTCTCTTAATTCATGAACTGGGACAGACGGAGGACATCTGACTACTCCTGTTTTGTAGTAATCCTGCAAGTATTTTCATTAACAACAATTTTATTCACAACAGCTATAAACAAGCAAATAAACATTCTACGTGCAAACACAAATTAATGAAAACTGTCAGTGTTATTTGTTGAGAGGTGGCAGAGATCTCAGCTAGGGCAAGTCTGTTACAGAGAACGTATTTCTTCTTCTTCTTCTGCATTCACTCTTAACACTTTGCTGACCAACAATCTGGAGCATTACCCTCTCCCATTACCAAGGGTGTTTGAAGATTTTTGTAAAAATGACTGCTTTTCTAATAAAATTCATAAAATTTTTTTTTAAGACGTAGGGTATTGAAACTTTTGGAGGCCCATTAGGAATGGTTGCTACACATGAAAACAAATATGTTATGCAAATATGTCACATGATCATGGTGGCCATATTGGGTTTATTTTGCTATTTATAGAAATTTCAGGAGATGTTTAGCCGATGTTTCATCTTTTTCCACTTTTTAGTGAATTTGTTCAACTTCAATGCAATAAAATGTTGGGGACATGGTTCGCAATGAATAAAATTAGCTTTGTATGAGTACTTTTGTAACTATTAACTAAATATTTCAAAATTAAAATGAGAAAAAAAATTGAACAAACTAAAAAAAATGGTATATTTTCTTTCTTGAGTGTATTGTGTTTATGTGGCATGTTACAATGAGGATTTGTGAATGTTTGATTACAAAAACACTTCTAACCTCTAGCTAAAGTCTGAGCTACTTCATTCATTCACTGAAGTTGAAGCTGTAGCTGTAGAACTCTGCAAGAGTCTTTGTCGGGAAGGTTGATAATCCTCAACTGTATGGTATAGCTTGAAACAGGGTGTCAAGCATAGAGGTGTATTGCAATCTGAGCAGTACATGCAAGTCTGGCTCCTTTTACCTGCAGACTTACACACTTTACAGTCTGGTTTGTACTTTGGCTTTTCATATTTTTCAAAAAAATGGCGTTCGATAAGTCGTGATGTTGTGACTTGTGGTCTTGAAGGTAGTACGTTGTGCCAAAGAACAGCAGGTCCGATAAGAGCAAGACTGACATCCTGCCTGAACTTCTTTGCTGTTATCTTATTTGTAGAGTTGACAGTGTTGTAGCTGATATGTCCATTTACCAAAGCAGTTTCAACTAAAAAATGATACAATGGCAGGTACCATTTATAGGATCTGTGTAGGTATGGGTAGTTTGCAGCAAGTTGGCCAAAGTGATCAACACAACCCATACTTTTGTTGTATTTTTCAGCCAGAACAGGCTTATTTAAAATTCTGCCCTCAGGAGCTCCCCTTTTTCTGTCTTATCCATGACATCATTGGAGTGAACAGTAGAAATTAAGTTCATTCTCTTGGTATCATGCCAGGTAACGGCCAAAATGCTTTTATCCTCTGTTACACAAAACACAGGATTATCTGCCTTTTTCAGTTTCAGCTGCTTTTTCTTTAAAATCTCAGGAAAATGCTTCCTTCTTTCAGACACTGTGCCACATGCACCAATCTGCATTTCTTTTAGCTTTTGAAATAAAGCTGGGCTTGAATAAAAACTGTCACAGTACAGAATATGTCCTTTATATTCGTATCCGTCAAGAACGCGTTTTACAAGTGTGGAAGTCGTGCCGACACAAACTTCATTATTTGCCTTACCAGTATAAATCTCTAGTTTTAAACAATACTGGTTTACAGCACATTCCCGTACCAATGTGAAGGCTTATAAATGCAGAAATGTCAACTGCATCAGTGTTATCCCAAGTAAGTTTTTTGTACTTGGCACTTCCAGTGTACTGAGACAGATGATTTTCACCATACCTGTTGACTTCACGTGTGATCAGGTCTATGGAAGTGTCAGGAAAAAAAAATTTGAAAAAAATTAATCGGCACAAACCCAGTTGTGTCTGACACAACACCTTGTTGTTCTTGGTATGGAGGAAGATTGTCAATCTCAACAAGTTCATTTTCAGCAGCCTTTCTCCATTTTCAAACTAAATTTTCAGCTGTAGAAATGTTCTGGTCTCTTGTGTCACGCCCACTTCTATCAACAGAAGTGCCCACATCACCTGCCTCATCAAGTCCATCATCGCTGTCGCTACTTTCAGTTGCGATATCGTCAACTGGTGCATCTCTACTAAGCCAGGAATCATCGCTTTCAGCACCACAATCACTTGCAGAGTCAGAATCGTCTCTGTTACAGGTCTGGGTTTCATCATCAGACATGATGAAAAGGTTGTATACGCACTTGACACAAAAATTAACAAAATTTCACTTTAAAAAAAACCGCTTGTAATGACTCTAATCGATATGAATCGAAAGTAAAGCCATCTTGGAACAATAAGAATACCCGGATGCCGGTTAATTCAAAAACTGTCGGTAGGGACGTCGGTCGGCAGACTACAAGTCGCGAATTCGTCAATCGTCGAAGTTGGTCAGCAAAGGATTAAAGGGCAGTTGGCCCACTATGTTGGGGTTTACAGCTAGGCAGACAATACACTCTCCACACAACACCCCATTTTCTCTACGGTAAAAAAAAATGATAATACTGTGATGTTTCACAAACAAGTTTTTTGTTGTTTGTTTTCATCAGCTGTAAACTCCGGCAGAAAGACCTGGTTGTTCATCTATTCCTGGACTTCAGCTTTGTTCCAGCACCTGAGTTTTGCGTGTGCATCCATTTTACAGATCTTGCTTATTTGTATGCAGACTGTTGGTTCCTTGCCTCTCTGGCAGATACAATCTGACTCTGAAGGAAGCCCCCAATTAGTCGACTCTTACGACATGCATGTTGGAGAGGCACTGGGTCTATTCTTGTTTTCCCCAGGATGGGACCCCAGAACCCACATGGACAGTTTCACAAACATAATTACACACCAAAATGGCCCTGAAAACTGTGGCTGAGATTCCATCAGCGACCTCAAACTCTCCTCTCTCATTGGGTCGAGTAAAATTATTTTCCAGGGATGAGGTGAACATTCTGAAACATCAGAAAAAATATGAGGAGCAACATATTAGTCTTGCGTTTTTTAGGGTAAGCAATGATATTCTCAATTCTTGTAAAAGGCAAAATCACAATAAAATACTGCTACTGTATCCATTAGATGTATACTTCCAAGGTGTGATGAATATTCCACAAAAAATTACAATTACAATGACAATTTTACAAGAATTACAACTAAAGGTCTGTACAGTACCAGAAGATTCCAATGTTCATGTTAACAATAATCAAGAAATCCTTTTTGTGTGTGTGTGTGTGTGTAACAATTGCTGCTGGAATGTGAACTGCATAGACTTAACAAATACTGGGTGTTCCATGAAGAGGCGTGATGAGTTTCCTCCCTCACTATCTTCAGAGCTATAAACAAAGAGACTTGGTTGAACAGATGGGCCATGGGAGACACTGGAAGAGAGGTTTATAGAAATATGGCTGGCCCTGATCCTAATGACAGCATTAACCATCTAACAAGAAGGGACCAGGCCACCATCTTCAGACTTGGAACACGACATACTCCACTCAGTGGACACCTAAACAGAAAACAGCCACAAAACTCCCCAGAATGCCAGCTACGTAACTACCTCTATGAAACTGTTGAACACCATCTCTTTGAGTGCCCAAAACTCAGCGGGACTAGAAGAATGCTACTCCCTCAGGACCAGACAAGTGGAACACCTTGTATGGAGGAAAAGAATAGCTTGTGAAAACATGCAAATTCCACTATATGACATTGGGCCAAAGGGCGAAAGCTCATGCGCCGCTGGATCGATAACAACAACAACACTATCTTCTCTTAGGAGGTCATGTATTTTACAATATTGCTGAAACGATTCCTTGAACTAAAACTCTTTGTTGCCAGTCTTACACATCCTGTATTGTAAATACTTCCCTCTGCTTCATTCTGTGACTGATAGCTTTGATATCATCACCTGCTTGCTGATAAGTTATCACGTTTGGCCGTCTTACACAATCACCAGACTCAATAATCGAGATCATTGCTCTTGTATTGCCTCAGTAATCTGACCAGGTTATCATGGTATTATCTCTTTGCCTTCCTATTGCTCTTTTCCCATCAATCTTGCCAGCTGTCACAGAGTTCTTGAGTCCATTTCTTCTCCTGACAAGTCCCCAAAACAGAAAAAGAAAAAACACTAATTTCTCTAATCAGTTTACAGTTTTCACCTGCCTCAAGGATGACTGCCTCAAATTATTTTTCTACCATTCCATGTTATTCTTTGGATTCTTCTCAAATACCACTTTTCCGCTACGAGCAGGTGTTTTTCAACTTGTCTGTTTATTTTCCATGTCTCACAGGCATAGAATAACACAAGTTCTAAATAGCATTTTAAAACTCTTTTTCTCACTCCAGTCGATATCTTCTTACTGGTCACAAACTGTCATCGCCTGTAGTTCTTATTTATTTTTTATATTTATTTTTTATTTTTTTTAATTAAAAAAAAAAAACCTTACCTGCCCAACATGGTCTCTGGCCGCTGGCGGAATAGCTCAGGGTCAACCACAAACCTGGTCTCATCCACCACCAAAGTGAGGCGCTCCACCGGCCTGGGACTGTTACAGAACAACTTGGGAGAGGCATGGAAGGGTAGGGCCGCTGCTCCATCTGTAGACATACCCAAGGCAGTGGAAACAGATACAGGAATATGTATGGTCAACTTACAATTTCAACCCTTTCTCCCCAGAAACCCTAGAAAAACAATGCCAAAATGTCATATTTCAGGAATTCAAAAAAACAAAAATACTTAAAAAACCCCCAGTCTATACAAGTCAACAAAACTTTCATTTACGTGCATTCAAAAGAAATCTGTCCATAACTAGGTTGAGGAGTAATCAATAAACATTAAAGCAGTAGAGAATTTGCCTTCTTCTTCTTTGCATTCACCAGCTTTAAAATCCTGTTGTTCATCTATTTCTGGACCTTAGTCTTGTTCTAAAACTTGAGTCCTGTGTGTACATCTGTTTTACAGATCTGAAATATTTGTATGCAGACTTCTGGTTTTTCACCTCTGAGGCAGATGCACTCTGACTTTGAAGGAAACTTCCCTAATTAGTCGCTTTGTACAACATGCTTGTTAAAGAGGCAGTGAGTATACTCTTTTTGTTCCCACCGGAACCCACATGGGAAAGCAGTTAATTAACTGGCTTATGTCTCACTTGACCGCTAAAAAATATATAGTGATTTATGCTTGATCCTGTAACATGATTGTTGGCGACCACTGAGACTTCTTGGAAATGATGTCGCATAATGTTTATTAAAAAGAGCTATTTTCCACCACCCCCCCCCCCCCCCCAATTATTTAATACATTTAATCATTTCCGGTGCTAATAAATGCTTGCCAGGGGCAAATTATACCAGTGCAGTTAGCTAGGCTTCTGACGAACGAGCCAGTGTAGCAATACAGATTAAGAAGTGTTTACAGAAAGGTTGGAAGCACTACCTGAAGTGACAGGTTTGCAGCTTCTCGGGGCAAAAGGGTTAACATTATAGCAAACAAAGTAGACTGTATAAATGATCTTTCTTTGTCTTGTTTGTTCCTCTTTCGAGCAGTGCAACTGAAAGGATACCAGCCTTATCCTAGGATGATAAAATGCAACCGGAAAACTGAATTTTATGGCACTACAGACAAGGCTCTTAGCTTTGACTGGAAGCTCTGACAGGCTGGCAGAGTACTGTTCTTATCATCTGACAATTTCTGCAGCATGTTTCATTCCTAATGTACCGACGTTATCTTACTCTGGAGTTAACAAAGCAGGCTGAGAGAGTAATCATGTTGCATGTGCAACACATGATCTCTGCAACACTGTCAAGGCTTTCTGCTATGGAGAGGAGAAATTCATTCATGGCCTCAATTAGTATCACCACAAGCTGTGATTCAGCGGCGTCCATGGTTTAGGCATCGCGAGTCCGACTCGTAATTCCAACGTACGGCGATCGAAACCCACTGCTGGCTGCGTGGATTTTTATCATGGTATGGGGCGTCACAGGTCAACCCAGCCTAAAATGGGCCGGCGTAATGCTGACCACATTCCCCACCCAGTGCCAATTGGTCTGTAAAAATATGCTATGCTCTTCCCATATGCCCAATCGGCCTAAGGAGTGAATAGGGATCTTTACTTTACTTACAAGCTGTGATTCAAAAGCCTTCCTATAGCATAATAGAATACTATTGTCTAGAAAGGTGCCAACCAAGTGTCACAGCTAGTTATTATATATGTTTCTAACTCTGAGGCCAGCTGTCGAGCAAACATTTGTCTATATACCCTAGACAGATTCTGTAATATGCTGTACTTCCACAGACATACTTTTTTTGTGTGTGTCAAGAAAATGAATAAGCATTACAGACAAATTTCGTAACAGGCTATACAAGCCCATGGAAAGGCTGTTTCTTTGCCAAAACAGATTCTGCAGAAGGCTCTACAAACCCAAGGAAAGTCCTTTTCTTTGCCAAGACTATGAGTCAACAGCCTGCCATTTAGATTCAAAACTCATCAACATGGCTATGTGCCCTGCCAGCTTGTGTAGGTATGCCTCTCCATAAGACCTCAGCCTACCCCGCGTGGATTCCAGGGCCCCATTTTTAGGAAGAAATAGAATATACACACTACATGTCATCAAAGGCAACTAACAAACATTTTGTAAAACAAAATGAATGCGTTGGGGGGAATGGAGCAGATATCACAGCCTAGCTGTAAACCACAACATAACGTACCAACTACAATCTTTTCACCTGGGTCTGGAATCCACACAGAGAGTACATGAGCAATGACATGGGACATTTTAACAAGGGCTTAAATAACATACAAGCAAAGAAGCAAACAAAAAAGACTCATGGTTACCACAACTGTGATGCTGCGGCAACTGTCCAGGCATGTCCAAGTTGTGTGGTCGGGGGCGTGAGTGCATGCTGGAGCTGGTCATGGGCTCACAGGATGGACAATCCTCGTTGCTGCTGGTGTTGTCAAGGCTGAGTGACCTGGTGCGGTTGACGAGGCAAGGCTTGGAGCGAGGTGGGCCTAGTGAGCTGTAGATGTGCAGAAATATGAGTGTGGTTGAAACGGGAGGAAGACATGCAGGGGCAGCATGACAGAGAGTTAATAAGAGGGAGACAGATGATGGAGTGACAGAGAGAGACAGAGAGGGGGGGGGGGGGGGTTTTGACAGGTATGGTGAATGAGATAACGAGACAGAGAATGACACAGTGATTTCAAGAGACAAAAGGGGTTTTCCCATACAAAGCATACATGGAAAGAGAAGAAGGACGTAGAGCACGGGGTAGACCAAGAGCAAGATGGAAGGATAACATCAGAGAAACTCTACAACAGCACGATATGACTATGGTCAAGGCAGCCAGAAGAGCTAGAAACAGAACCTTATATCTCTCTCGACACCCACAGCGGTAAAAGAGGAAGTGAAGAAGAAGAAAAAGAAGAAAGGGGTTTTACAGGTAACAGGGGAGAAACAGAATGTTACAGTGACTGGTGTGTGAGATAGAAAGAAAGATGTGTGCCTGGTTGATTTGTACATATAAACATCAACCTAACATAGGGCTCTGAAAATCTGTCACTGTATGGGAAGACTATATATTTTTTCTTTTTAACTTCTTCAAGTTACTTTATCAAAGTGGTGTGTTAAGGATCTTTTGGATGCTCTTTCTAATGCATAGGATAAGTTGGTCCTTATTTCCTTAAGGGTTGTTCTCAATGCCATAATTCCATCTTCTGTGTGGTCTTCTACTTCCTCTTGCCCAGTGTGTTTCTTCAGCGTCACTCTCTGTGGCAGCTGGTACAAGGGCATTAAAATGAAATGACCAGATCAACTCATCAGTTGTTCTTTAATAAACTGCATGACTGGCTTCAGGCCTCCTCTTCTTCTAATTTCTTCAATTTTAATTTTATCTTTTCCTGTTATTCTGCCAGCTATTCTAAGTCGGAAGACATGTGCACACGCTTGTGACGAAACGAACACATTTTTTGTTAAAAGTGAAAACCTAATATGTTTAAAATATAAATGAACCTTGATTTTTTTATGCAGGTCTTCTTGCGCTCGTCAGTGTCGGACAGATCAGAGTCGCTGCTATGGTAGTCGTAATCACGATGAAATCTGTCTCCAGGTAAATGGTGTCGCCGATTTGCCATGGGCGTACCATTGATGCGTAGTCAAGCGGAAGCTAATAGACATTCAAATCTTTTTAGTATGGGCAAAATCAACCCTGAAAATAAAACAATGACAATGAGGATTAAAACAGCTTGAACATTACTACCCCATTACATCACTGACCCTACAAACTAAACTTTAAAAAAAAATAGCCCTTGCAGTCGGTCATCAAGTCTGACCACAACCTTTTGCCTCATGGACTGCCAATCTTATTTCATGAACAAATACCAATCCAAGTGAGAAGCAGAACTAGTCAGCTTTACTCATATATGACAAAGTGAACATTGTGGCTAGAAAGCTTTCATCAGCATTTGACTAAAACAGACAATGACAAATGATAATCTTCTTCTCATTATTATTCTTCTTCTTCTCTCTACTCTTGAAATGCCTCACAGTATCAGGGCAGGATATGATCTTTAAAAAAAAAAAAAAATCACCGCTTGATGCAGATTCAAACCCTAGATTTTTAGGTTGAGCGAGAAGTGTCTTAATTGCTTAAGTGGATAAAGTGACATCTGCACAAACTACAAAGCTGAGGCAACTGGCCTCCTTTTTGCAGTCCAGCACCTCCTTTCCCTTTGAGTTTATGTTGTCATTCTCCAGTCTGTAGTCTCCATTCTCTACTCATCCTTGAAAGACTGGTTTGGGGATGTTTGGGTTTCTTTTTAACTCTGTGGTGGATGAGCTTGTGCAAGCCTACTTACTCCAAACTCTTGCCAGTTCATCTGCTTTCTCATTTCCTGGAATACTAAAGTGAGCCTGTATCCACTGCAATAGCAGTTCTGCTTCCTTGGAAAGCAAGCCAGCGCTTCTCCTCAGATCTGCAGTTAGTCTGTCTAGTTCTCTGCTTAGCAATGCTTGCAGAACTGAAAGTGAGTCACTGAGAATAACAGTTATGGAGTAATGAGGTGCTGGACTGCAAAAAGGAGGCCAGTTGCCTCAGCTTTGTAGTTTGTGCAGATGTCACCTGCTTGAGTCTTTTTGCTACTCTGCTGCTGGTATCTTTGATATATACTCCATTTATGACTGCATCTTTAGCAGAACCATCAGTAAAAACCTAAGTAAGGAATGCCAATCTTACAGTCCATGCCATGCAGCACTGGCTTTCATGTCTGTCCACAGACTTCTTCTCATGTAGTGTCAACCTTTTGTGATTAACATGTTCCTTTACAGTTCTATACCATGATGCCAACCATATCTTGCTTGGTCTCCCCTGGCCTCCCCTTCCCTCCAACCTTACTGATGTACTTTTTATAGTCAGTTTATTTAAGCATTGTTCCAGATTTGTCTATCTGCTATTGTAAGTTTCTGATTATAACCAGCAATCTTTTGACCCATTTCTAGGTTAGGCAACTAACTAGATGGTAAATATGCAAGATTCTTGAACAGCAGAAGGTAAAAGAACCATCTCCTGCCCTGAGACCACTTTAAATAGACAAGATATCCACTTGGTAGTTAGTACCAAACTCTTATCCAAGGGTACAAAAATAATATGTTGCCAACAGTTTGAGTTTTTATTTTTCAAACTGAATTTGTTGAATAAAGATGAAAGCACTACTGAATTATTTATTACCTTACTATACGATTATTTTTCTTAAAATATAAAATGATTTATATTTTGAAAAAAAAAAAAAACTAAATATTGTTATTTGCAGATTCTAGATGCAAACAGTTCTACTGTCTGTTTTTACCATACTGCAATTTGTCAGTGCCTACAAAGTACTGTTTTGACTTTTGTACAGAGATTTAAAAAAAAAAATTAAAAAGAAATGTATACAACCACTAAATGACTCACAGTAGTATAATTTCTCCAGACTCTCATATATGATAAGGAAGTCTTTATCATTAGTAAAATCTAAGAAGAAATTTGAAAACAAACTAACTCAGTCAATAAAATTACGATAAATGTAAAAGTTTAACAAAACATTACAATAACATGGACAGTCTTACAACAGACGTGAGATCTGAGCATGAATGCATAGCATAGTCAGTCAAAGGGAGAAAAGTGGGCTCTCCTCCGAACTTCGTTCCCATATTATGGCGGCTAAACAAATACCTTAACAGGGCCTCAGTCATGTCTAAAATGCGGAGTGCCTGCCGGGGAACAAATCACGACAAAACTAGGATTGCCTTCAAATAACGGGCCAATATTATTTAGTGCAAACAAATACTCCAACAGGGTCTCAGCGATATGTTAACTGCAGACCTGTTTCTGCGTCTAAGCCGCACCACCAACAGTATCCCTGTGCTGCTACGTGCGGATGGGGGGCTAAACTAGATGGTTGGGACTCACGAGCAAATAAATTAGAGGCAATCGCAGGAGATGCGGTAGCTGCTGCTCGTGAGTCCCAGCCATCTAGTTTAGCCCCCCATCTACGCCGCGCGTAGTGGCGCGGGGGATATGCTCAGCAGTGAGTTTAATCGGAAGAACACTATCGCTAACCTGCATCGGAGCGCGTGGTCTCCCCACCATGTAGCTATTATCATGTGTATTGTTGGGTTTCTTGAAATTGTCAACGGACAGTAATCCTAGTTTTGCTACAATGTGTTCGTCGGAGGAAATCCACATTTTACACACGACTGAGGCCCTATTAGAGTATTTGTTTGGCCGCCATAATATTGGTACGAAGTTCAGAGGAGAGCCGAAAAGTGGTTGATCCAGAATTTGGCTCTCCTGCCAACTTAGGCGGTTAGCTGGAAAGCCGCCGATCGCTTAGTGGGAGTTCTCTCCCTTGGCTGCATTGTGAACACAGAGCGGAAAAGTCACGAATCAAATAAGGCAGTGAGGTCGACAACAGGGCTGCCAATGCTTGGGTGTTTCCCCCAGATCTAGCTGTTTATATGACGCTTCGGGGAAATCTGGTTTTTTTTTAAAGTAAATATATCCTTATATAAAAGTGGTATTAGTTGCCACGGATGTGACTCCTGCAGATCTGTATGACTTAATGACTGCCGATACATTTGCGTGGTTAGGGGTAGGGTTAAGGTTAGGGGGTAGCGGTAGGGTTAGGGTTAGATGTGACAAGTTTGACGCAGGAGTTCCAAATAATCTCGCAGTCACATACACACCCAAACAATCGAAGGATTGTGAATGCTACTCAAACGGACAATTCGCCACCGATGGGGCACCAGCCGTGCGCTATTGCCGTCATATTTGGAAGAATTCCAGTGGCGCCACTCCCACAAGCATCAGAGTGTCGGCCAGTATTTGGAACTCCTACGTCAAAATTGTCACATCTAACCCTACCCCTAACCCTAACAGTAACCCAACCCCTAACGCCACTAACCCTAACCCAAACCCTATGATGACTACGCAACCGTACAGGCAACCGTATGATGATAGGTAACCGTATGATGACTACGCAACCGTACACGCAACCGTATGATGATAGGTAAGTATGTAATTTGATTCGTGACTTTTCCGCTCCGTGTTTGCAATTCAGCCAAGGGAGAGAACTCCCACTAAGCGATCGGCGGCAGTCCAGCTAACGGCCTAAGCCCTAAGTACTAAGTTGACAGGAGAGCCCAGAATTTGGCTCTCCTAGCAGATTTGGCCGGCAAGCTAGACGGCGTCAGCCGGCTTAGTGGGAGTTATGGGAGTTATGTCCCTACGCCAAACTCAAAACAAGTTGCGGAAAAAGTCACGAATCAAATGACATACTTACCTACCATCATCCGGGTGCGTGTAGGGTTGCGTACGGTTGCGTCTAGGGTTACCTATCATCCTACGGTTGCGCGTAGGGTGTCTATCATCATCATACGGTTGCGTGTAGGGCTGCGGAGGGTGTCTATCATCGTCCTACGGTTGCATGTAGGGTTGCTTAGGGTTTGGGTTAGCGGTAGGGTTAGGGGTTTGGGTTAGGGTTAGAGGTTAGGGGTTAGGGTTAGATGTGAGAAATTTCACGTAAGAGGTCGAAACACTGGCCGACAATCTGATGTTTGTGGGAGTGGCGCCACTGGACGTGTAGCAAATATGACGGCAATAGCTACACCTAACCCTAACTCTATCTCTAACCCTAACGCTACCCCTAACCGTAACGCTACCCTTAATCCTAACCCAATCCCTAATCCTACCGCTAACCCTAACCCAACCCCTAACCACTCAAATTTAACGCTTACAGATCGGCAAAACACCCACAGACAGACACACAGAAAAAAAGAAAGAAAAAAACCCCCAGATTTTCCCGCAGCGTCAAAAGAAAAACCCAGATCTGGGGGACACAACCAAGCATTGGCAGCCCTGATGTCGACCTCACTGTCGTGTTTGAGTCGTGACTTTTTCCGCTCGTTGTTGTGAGTGCGGCCAAGGGAAAGAACTCCCACTACGCCGACCGAAGCCGACCTACTTGCCGGCCAAATCTGCTAGGAGAGCCCAGAATTTGGCTCTACTGTCAAATTTGGCCGGTAAGCTGGACTGCTTCGGCCGCCTTAGCGGGGCTTAGTGGAAGTTATGTCCCTTCGCCAAACTCAAAACAAGTCGCGGAAAAAGTCACGAATCAAATGACATACTTACCTATCATCATCCGGGTGCGTGTAGGGCTGCGTCTAGGGTTACCTATCATCATACGGTTGCGCGTAGGGCTGCGTAGGGTGTCTATCATCATCATACGGTTGCGTGTAGGGATGCGTAGGGTGTCTATCATCATCATCATACGGTTGCGTGTAGGGTTTGGGTTAGCGGTAGGGTTAGGGTTGGGGGTAGGGTTAGGAGGAGGGTTAGGGGGTAGGGTTAGGGTTAGGGGTAGGGGTAGGGTTAGATGTGAAAATATTCACGTAGGAGGTCGAAATACTGGCCGACAATCTGATGCTTGTGGGAGTGGCGCCACTGGAAGTGTGCCACATATGACGGCAATAGCGCGCTGCGGCTGGTGCCCCAATCTGTGGCGAATTGTCCGTGTCAGTAGCATCCACCGTCCGTCGACTGTTTGCGCGTGCATGCGACTGTGTGCGATTGTAGGGAACTACGCCCTCACAATTGTCA